CCAGGGCCGGCCAGGCCGCGCGGGTCCGGGGCTGAGGAGCCGGCTGCGGGCGAGCACGATGGGCCAGTCCTGGCCTTGGTTGCAGCAGCTCCGGCGAGTGCGGGACCCGCAGGGCTGAGAGTGGCTGGAGGAGGCCCGAGGCGCTCTGACCCTCTTCCCCTCGGCCGGAGCCCTCAGCCCAGCCGGCGATCGCGCACCGAGAGCGGGCGGCCTGCCTGTCCGCCGTTGGAGGCCGAGAGCAGGGTCATCGCGAGGCCTGGAGTACCGCACGCCTTTGACAGCTCCGCTCGCAGCCCCTCCGGGAACGGACAGCCTCAGAAGCAGCCGGCGGCTTGGGATCTGGGGGCGTGTGTGCCCGTGCGGAGCTCCTTGGGTTCCCTCAGCTTCCACCGCTCTTCCCACCCGCTCCGACTTCCCGCGCAGAGTTAGAAGGATCGCAGACTTTTTGCCCGAGAAGGGTCTCTGCACACTCTCCAACCACTTCTTTTTCTACTTCCCCTTTTTCTGTTTTTTTTTTCCCCGCCAGTTCTAGTACACACTAGTTTTTAAGGCTGGAGGTTCTCGAGCGCTTACTGCCCAGGACTCCTCCACCCCCTCCCCCGCTCATGGAGTCCGAGATGCTGCAGTCGCCTCTCCTGGGGCTTGGGGAGGAAGATGAGGCCGACCTTACAGACTGGAACCTGCCTTTGGCTTTTATGAAAAAGAGGCACTGTGAGAAAATCGAAGGCTCCAAATCCCTAGCTCAGAGCTGGAGGATGAAGGATCGGGTAAGTGGATTGCGACTGCGCCCCTTGGATCTTGGTAGTTTTTTCAAGGAAGAAAGTTCAGGGCCAGAGAGTGCCCTTGGGAAAGCGGCAATATTTTTTCCCAGCCACATGTTGCAAGTCAACCAGAAGGCACAAACCATTTCAGACTCCGGTTTTTGGCTGTAAGTGGAAAAGGCTGTTTTGGTTGGTAGTTATTCACTGGACAGTGTTAATTTGATTCAAACTAAGTCCTAATTCAGACAAGAAAGGTTAAGCGAGTTAGAAAATACATTACTGTACGGGTATGTACACCCTCTTTGATACACTAAGCCCTCTTAATAGTTAGAGGAAAGACAACTTGGGATATAATATTTGCACCCACGTGGTTGGTCTACTTTTGTGGCTAGTTTACTTTTTTTGTCCAAGCTAGGTGAAGTGCAGATGTCTAATATAGTACACAAGGAAACAAGGTTACTGGCTAATGTTCAGCTAGTAACAAATTAATGCAAAGTTATTTTAAAGTTACAATGAACTTCATCATAGCCTTCTAAACAATTTGTCTTGAATCTGGACTTTCCTCCTTTTATGTGGTCCCATGTTACGTGGAGATGGAATTTCTCTGATAGTGGAATTGGAGTATGGTGGGTTGAACTTGGGTCTAGGTTTTAGGGGGTCTTCATGGTGTTAGAGTGTAGATAGCAACTCACAAGCAGCTGGTAGGAAGGAAAACAGTCAGTTTTGTTGAATCTGTCTTTAGTTAACCATCTACTTCCTGGTTTCCAAAGCAAAAGGGTGGGACTGTCTCCTCTATGCACGCTTATAATTTGTGTATTGTTTTCTCCTTCGAGACAATATTTATTTGAACATTTTCGTATAAGAGAGGTAGTTGGTGTTAATAACGCAGTGTTTGCCTCAGGCTCATGAGTATGTTTATATAAGACTGTTCTTAGTGTATGATGTTGAGCATATACAGGATTACCCTTATGGTAATTCTAGTTAGTCACTGGTAACTGGTGCTTCATTTGTTACTTGGCGTACCTTTAAAAGGTTAGGAAAATTTGTTTCATCTAAAAGTAGTTTAGGGAGTAAGAGAGATGGTCATTGGAAGAGATTGTGTAAAGTCTGTCCTGTGGACATCTTTATACTAATTATGTAGTTTAAAGCTTTTGTGGTTGCTATGCTCATATGAAAAGATTTATTTTAAAAGTCACTGTGATTTTTTTTCATGAAGGGCATGTTTTTTCCTTTTGAAATGTAGTTCCCTTTGCTACCCCAAACCCATGCTCAGACTGTTCAAAAGTGATTATTGGATATATTTTTGATTTTCTAATTAAAATTAATCTGTGAATGATCAGCATTTCCTGAGAAGCTCTTCATAAGTTATTTAAGAGGAAGGAAAGTTCTGTGAGTCTGAGTAATGACTGAGATCGCTGCTTAGAAAGAGCCAGGGGAGAAAGTGCTGTATCCGACCTTTGCAAGTTGTTTAATAAAGAACAAAACCAGCAGCTAACGTTTTGGGTTCAGTCTTGAGAGCTCAGCGTCCTAGCGGTCCTTGTATAGTCTTTCCCCTGGTTAGACCCTGGGTGGGTCTTGTCAGCACACTCTGCCAGGACAAAGGGTGCAGATCCAAGTGATGCTGAGAGCTGGGAGGCAGTGGGAACGTGTGGGGCAGGCCAGGTATGAGGAGGGCAAAGGCACAGGCTCACAGAGAAGTGGCAGCTGAGCTTTGACTGGCGTCCGACTTTCTGAAGAGCACGTGCCGCAGCTCAAAGGGCAGCGGGGCCTCGGCCAGGTCTCTCTCCCTTTCTCTCTCACTCTTTTCTTTGAGAAGCCAGAAAACTTTTTTTTTTCTAAATGTGAAGTTTTCCAGTTTTAAAATCCTGGAAATAATTCAAATGTTACAAAGCGTGAAGTGGTGCAGCCGCGCGGCTGATTCTGGCCGGCGGGGTTCACGTCTGACCTCACGACCCTAGGAGCCCTGCGCGCACAGGCACGCGGGCGGGCCGCTTCCCACAGGCTGACGCCGCAGCTGAGGGCCCGCTGTCCTGTGCGGGGACCTCCGTGGACCACTTCTCCTGCCGGGCCAGCCACCCCCTCAGTGCAGGCTCGGTCACTGCTTCTTGCCGTGATCCGAATGCAAGTCCACGTCCTCCGTGTGTACGTACTAGCGGTAGCTTACTGCTGTCCCTCTTGGTGGAGTTAAGGGTTCTTTAGACTGACATCTTGACCAAAGCTGAGCGACGACGCCATGCAGTTTTCTGCCACCAGCCCTTGGCCTGTCCTCACAGAGCGACAGGGCACTCACACCCTCGGTCGGGATTCCCACCATCTTGGTATTGAGTCATCCCTGGTTTTCAGATGCCGCTGTTACTGCATTTTGATTACTAAGTTACTGTGAGTGTGATACTGTTACCATCCAGTTAGCTTGTTGTTTGGGTAATTCTGTGTGCAGTGACTGTGTATATGCATCAGTGGCATTTTTGATGTGTAGTTTTCAAATAACTGGGCATATAAACCACAGTTCAAAATGAATCATTCTCAGACCTACGGCCAGAGCAGAGGTGTGTGTAACTCCCCGCTTTGTGTTTTCCTGTGAGACTTTACAGTCATCACAGAGCTCATTTTCCCACTGGAAAGTGGGCATGTGGGGATAGCTGGTCTCAGACGGATCCTGCGGAACCAGGACGGCTTGAGGGCTCTGAAAAAACCTGTCCCCAGACTCACTGTACCTGCATGTGTGGGAGATGATGCTGTAAAGTGATGAAGTCATTTCCCAAACCAGGCTCGGACTTAGTCACCCGCTGTGCAGCGGTGCTTGACTGCACCAGCTGATGTCCGCACAGCCAGGTGTTAGGCTGTCTTCTGAGCAGGGTGAATCGTCAGACTTCCTGACCTCCTCAGTCCCTCTGTTTCCTCACCTCGCATGCCCTCCTCAGCCGGCTCCACCCAGACTCTCTCCCACACACTCGGACTGCCCTCCACAAGGTCATCGTTGCTGCTAAACCCATCACTCCTCTGTCCTTATCTTTCCCCCTTCTCAGCAGCATTCCAGGTGGACCACTCCCTCCTTCAGGAAGCCCTTTCTGCACTTGCTTCTGTGTCTTCCTGAAGCCCCAGGTCTTCCCGAGGTCACTAGTCGCTGCTCCTCAGACTCCCGTGCTGGGTGGCAGCGAGTGTGGAGCCCCCAGAACTTGATCTGGGCCCGTTCTCTGCTCTGCGTGCCCCTCGCTAGCTGCTCTCGCCCAGTCTCATGGTTCTGCACGTCAGCTTCGCGCCATGACTCTCAGAGCCCCGTCTTTAGTCCTGCCTCCTGGAGCTCCTGTCTCAGGTGCCTGGTTGTCCACTTTGCCTGGGTTTTCTCCATCACAAGACACCCCAGCACCGCCCACTCTGTTGTTCAAGCTGTGAGTCTATAATTTATCCTCAGTGACTCTCTTCCTCATCGTGCTGTGCGTTCCATTAGTAGAGCCTGTCAGCTTCGCCTCCGAAGTGTGTCCCACATTGGACCACCTGTTTTGTCTCCACCGTGCGAGCCCAGGCCAGGCAGCTACCACCTTTCACCTGGACGATGAGAATCGTGTCCTGGCTGGTCTCCTGGGTCTGCTCTTGCCCTGCAGTTGATCCCTCAGATGGGTCAGAGGGACTTTTTAAAACTGTCAATCAGATCCTGTCGCTCCCTTACCGGGCCTGTCCACCGGCCTCCTAGTGCCTGAAGGAGAACGCAGACTCCACGCTGCTGCCCGGAGCTGCGTGCTCTGGCCCCGCCTGCTTTTTCTGCTTCCCGGATGGAAAGGCCTGGAATGCTCTTCTTTCTGATCTTTGCACACCAGGCTCCTTCCTGTCACTGGTACCCAGCTCCAGGCCACTTCCTCAGAGAAGCCTCCCCTGGTCACCCCATCTTAAGCAGCTCCCCAGTCGCTCATGATCACTCTTTATGCCTCTGATATTTTTCTTCAAACCTCCACCCCTAGAAATGAGCTTTTTACCATAAAGCAAGGACCTTGTCTCTGCTAGTGTAGAGGACGGTGCTGGGCACACAGCAGGGACTCAGTAAAAATGCACTGACGAGAAAAAGGGCTTCCACGTGGGTGATGTCTTCGAAGGCTCAGTAGCACCTCTGCCACCTGTGGGTCGTTCTCTCTGCGGGACTGACGAGGGGGCTGAAGCCAGATTAGACGGCTTCCCCGAAGGGCGGAAGGAAGTGGAGCCTGAGACCCAAAGCCTGGCTGAAAAACCAGCGTGCACAGCTGTGCACAGCGCCACGCTGAGAGGCCACGGAGGCCGGAACAGAATGTCTGGGGAGGGGGACTGCGAAGGCGGCGGGGACACAAAAACAAACTGTCATCCAAGCAGCAGAAGGCTGGTGGCGCAGCCCAGCTGCCTCTGTTGTGATAATGGAAGACCTGCGTTGCTGGCCTGTCCCCGTGCTGACAGCTGCGTGGATGGTGACACTGCCCGAGCCCCGATGGGCCCGGTGGCGCCAGACCGTGCTGGTCCTTGCTGTTCCTCGGTGCCAGGCGCGTGCAGTGTGAAAAAAACGGTTTCACTTCAGAATGCCCTTGATAAAGCACTGGAAATGATTCGTTTCCTTAAACCGTGGCTCTTCGGGCCCCGCCTTTTCCATCCTCTGCCCGCTGCGTGGTTGTCCCGGGACGCGACCGGGCTGGGCGGGAGGAGGCGGCGGCCGCCCCGCAGCTCAGGCTCCGCGGGTGTTTTCTCGGAAGCAACCATGGGAGCCTCGCTCCCAGGAAGACAACCCGCAGTGTTTGTTGCCAGTGATGAAATGAGGGCCTCCAAGTAGAACTTAAGAGTTTCAGAAAACCCGTCTCTGCCGCCGTGAGCTTCCCAGTGCTCAAAGATGTTTCTGATGAGATGGTGGTAACAGTAATGATTTTTTTTTATGTTGTATAATGGAACGTGTCCATATTTGGAACATCTGCGTAATTCAGTGAACCAGTATTTCCACGTGACCAGTGCCTGATACTGTAAGGTCACGCATGGGTCCGAGAGCCGAAGTTAGG